AATAAACGTATTGAAACTGTTAAGTATTGCTCTACGTTCTTTGTAGCGTCCTTTCCCTCGTAATCGGTATCACTGAGATACTTAACATTGGCGACGAGGATAAACACGGACAGTAAGTAGCAGAAGTAGCGTGCGAAGTTAGTACGGATCGTTGTTACTTCGTGTTCCGTTACTTAAGAGAAAAGCCACGTGGACAAGATGTTCAAGGGGAAGGCCTTAAACACCTTGACCAAAGCCGAGTGGGAAGAATATGCACACTGGGTCGTGGAGCAGAATCAGTTACTAGTCCAACAAAAGAACGACATCTTAGAGAGGGAACAAAGGCTGTCGGACGGACAGAAACAACTAGAAGCGGCCCAACAGTTAGCAAGTTTGGCGGGCACGGACCCGACCGTTGCAAATACTACTACCATTGTGAAAGGAACGTTCGGTAGTATCAGTGAGTTTACTGCTCAAGATGACTGGATTCAATGGCATGAGCGTTTCGAGCAGTACATAGAGGTTAATGAAGTGCCTCTAGGCAAAAGGGTGCCACTGTTCATTACGATGCTTGGACGGGAGGGGTACGGCTTATTGAGAAACTTGTGCTCGCCAACCGTTCCATCATCGATGCCACTAGAGACCCTCGTTAGGTTCATGAGAGAACACCTGCAGCCTGTACCTTGTGTTATCGCCGAACGTTACAGGTTTAGGGAATGCTGACAGCAGGAGAATAAGGATATTAAAGGGTTTGTGGCAGACCTAAAAAGACTATCAACGTATTGTGAGTTCGAGGCTAACCTCTAAAATAGCCTGAGGGATCAATTTGTGGGGATGAATGCAGGAAAGGAGAATAGCCTCAACTTTGTCTCAACGAAGACGGAAAACAAGTCCAAGAAGCTAAGCGAAAAGGTAAAACCTACTGTTGCGGTAAAGAAGGACATAAAACGTGTGACTGTCGATTTAGAAATTATACGTGCAATCAGTGCGGAAAAGCGGGTCATTTGAGAAAGGAATGTAAGCAAGGGAGCAATCGTAGTGAGAATGATCAGGGTAAAAAAGGGGCACGACATAATTTTGTAGAAGAAGTTGATAATTTGTCCGAAGATTTCGAAAGGTTATGTAATATTAAGTCGGTGCATGCTCTAAAACCGGAGAAGCCGCTAGAGGTTATGTTGACTGTTCAAAACACCCCAATGTCGTTTGAGATTGATACGGGTTCTCCGATATCGGCGGTTTCTTACGAAAATTATGTGGCTTCGAAGGAATTGAGAGTTTTGCGGACCCATCCAACTGCAAGAGTTCTTAGAGCCTACCCGGGAGATAAAATAATTCCAAAGGGAATCATTAATGTAAATGTTAGTTTTAAGAACAAATCGAATAATTTAGAACTTTTTTTTTGCCGGGAAGCAGTGCGCCGATTGAACAGATTGGTCGTAATTGGATGCTCGAGTTGGGAATGTTGAAGCTGGATAGCGAAAATAATTTATTGACCATTGGCTCGATTAAACAGGTGGTGGTTGAAAATGCGATTTTTGATGAGTTTAAAGATGTCTTTTCTGATACACTCGGTTGTTATAATAAGCGTAAATTTAGCTTGCAACTTAAAGAAGGAACAATGCCAGTGTTCAAAAAGCCGAGACCTATACCGTATGCCTTGCGCGACAAAATTGAGCAGGAAATTAATCGTCTGAAAAAGGCAGAAATTCTAGAGCCTGTTAAATCGAGTCAGTGGGCAACGCCATTGGTCCCAGTGCTTAAGGCTAACGGCGACATTCGCTTGTGTGGTGACTTTAAAGTAACCGTTAACCCGTGTTTGGAAATTGATCGACACCCCATACCTCGCTTAAGTGACTTGAGCACTAAGCTGGCTGGGGGAAAGATTTTTAGTAAACTTGATATGAATCAAGCATATCAACAAGTGTTAGTCGATAATGAATCCAAACAGTTGCTTGTTTTGTCAACACATAAGGGTCTTTACGCCTGTAACCGGTTAATGTACAGAGTTGCGTCTGCTCCTGGTCTATTCCAGCGTGAAATTGAAACTCTTCTACACGATATCAAAGGAGTAGTATCTTATTTTAATGACATTTTTATCTCTGGTCCAACCAAAACTGAACATGATAAAAGCCTCCGTGAAGTGTTGAAAAGATTGCAAGAATGTAATTTAACGTTAAAGAAAAATAAATGTTCTATTTCAAAAGACAAAATTACATTCTTGGAGCTTGAGTTGGACGCAGAAGGTATTAGAACTAGTAGTGTTAAAACCGATGAGATTACAAAAATGAAAAGGCCAGAGAAAGTGCCTGAATTAAAATCTTTTTCAGGTATGGTTAGCCATTGTACAGTCGTAAATGCCTTCATAAGGCTGACGACGCGATGATCCGTCATTGCCTCGTCAGCTTACAAGCATATATGCATATTCGCGGCGCGCACGCTTGTGCGCCGCCGCCATCTTAAGTCGTTACGCTCGCGTACCTGCGTGCATGGCTGAGCCAGTCTGTTGAGACACCTCAATGCGCGTGGAGCTCCGTTGCCTCAAATCTAAATCATACTCAATTCGCCCTGACACGGCAATAACACATTCAATTCACCCTGACACGGCAATAATATCTCTCTGCGCCTTTACCGGCGTTTCTCGCGAGTGCACTCGTCGACATAGCGTTAGTGTAGTCAATTTTTTGTGTATCCAATAGCGTATTAAGCCCGAACAGCTGTAACTCGCGGCTCTCGTGCGTGCGTGCGTGTTTTAAGTCGTAGTCGAGTCAAGTGCATGTAAATTTAGTTGTGTTCTTCAATAAAAGGGGTTTTTTTTACCGCAACGTTTTTTCCCCTCAAAAAAACGCAGTGTCTTCATTTGTTTTCCCTTTCCTTATTTTTCAACTAGGCGAGCGAGTCACCTGCGACTCTCTCGCCACGAAACAGCCATTACTCCAAATTTATTAAAAATTATGCTGACATTGCAGCCCCATTGTATGAACTTTTGCGAAAGAAAACTGATTGGGTTTGGACAGGCGAACGTGGAAAATCTTGATGCAAAAAGAGCGATTACATCGCCTGAGGTTCTAACACATTATAATCCCAAACTGCCTGTGAAAATTACGTGTGATGCGTCTCCGAGGGGACTGGGAGCAGTCCTTTCGCATGTATTTAATGACGGAAGTGAAAAACCGATTGCGTTCGCGTCTAAGGTTTTGTCACGTGCGGAAAAAAATTACTCCCAACTGGATCGTGAGGCTCTGGCACTGGTATTTGGGGTCAAATCATTTCATCAATTTGTGGACGGGAGGAAATTTATTTTAGAAACTGATCATAAGCCATTGACTTTTATCTTTGGTTCAAAAAAAGTACTTCCCCAAATGGCAGCGTCAAGGGTTCAACGTTGGGCAGTGTTTTTATCTGGGTATGATTTTGATGTTGCTTAAATTAAGGGTTCAAGCAATGGACAGACAGTCTCTCGCGAGTTATAGTTAATGAAATAAAGAATAAAAGCGATAGTACCGATGATTATACATATTTAAATTACGTTGCCAGTGTGGGACCTGTTAATGTCCATATCATTCGCGCGGAGACGTCTAATGATCCAATTCTGAGCCAAGTGCGTAATTTTTTACTAATGGGATGGCCAACAGAAATTGATGAAAAATTTTATGCATTTAAATGTAAACAATTAGAATTAAATGTCGAAGATGACTGTGTCATGTGGGGCCACCGAGTTATCATTCCTCTTAATCTAAGAAAAACAATGCTTGACGAACTTCACTCAAGCCACGGGGGAATTGTTAAAATGAAGGCTCTCGCTCGGTCTTATATGTGGTGGCCTAACATAGACGCTGACATCGAAAATTTGATGAAGTCCTGTATGTTGTGCGCTCATAATGCAAATAATCCTAGGCGTTCTGAATTACATGTTTACAAGTGGCCAAAAGCTCCGAATGAGCGGATTCACATAGACTTTTGCGGACCAATCGAAGGTCATATGTACTTAGTGATTACGGATGCTTTCTCTAAATGGATCGACATCCGAGAAATGTCTAATATCACGACCTCAAACACTATTCGAATTTTAAAAGACTATTTTGCCACTTGGGGCCTACCATTAATGATTGTGTCTGATAACGGGCCTTCTTTCACTTCAGACGATTTTAAGTTGTTTTTAGAGCAAAATCATATCGAACATTTGAAGACAGCACCGTATCACCACGGAGCAGCGGAGAATCCAGTTAAAAGTTTTAAAAATAAATTTAAATTATTGATCCAAGGAAAGAATTCGCGACAAGATGCGTTGGCTAAATATCTTATTTATTTTAGATCAACCCCGCATTGTACAACAGGCGTTAGCCCAGCTGAATTACAACTGGGTAGGAAAATAAGAGCGCGCTTGGATGCAATTAAACCGTCAATACAAGAGAAAGTAGAACAGAGCCAAGCAAAGCAAAAATTTTATTTTCGGGGGGATAGAAAGGAAAGCTTCAACGAAAAAGATACTGTTATGACTAAAAACTTTAGTACAAACAAGTGGGAACAAGCGGTAGTTAATCGTAAACTTGGCCCTGTAACTTACTCTTTACAGACAGAATCCAACAAAGAAGTTAAGCGAAATTTGGATCAAATTCGTCCGGGTCTAAAAGATAGTCCCTATATCTATGTAGATGACTTTAGCGATCAGCTGTTAAATGATACTGCTAAAGCACTCGATGTCAATCCCGTACCGGAACCTAAGACTGTCGCGAGCGAAACGTCGTTGCCTGTGCTTTCTAAAAAAGACCCTGCGGCGAGCTCAAATAAGCCGTTGGTCTTACGTCGCTCATCACGCATCAAAAAGGCACCGGAAAGACTTGATTTGTAACGGCGTACATTCAGACTGTTATGGGAAGAAGGATTGTAATATATACGACTGCGTAGTATATACATCATTAAGTAGATGGCGTTGCGTACGTCTGTACGAGTAGCCAGTAGCCTGGCTACGAGGTGTTCTTGCGCAGCACCGTCAGGTTGCCGTCAGCCACGCCACCGAGCAGTTGTAAGAGTCTCGTGTTGAATTAAACGTATTAAAACTGTTAAGTATTGCTCTACGTTTTTTGTAGCGTCCTTTCCCTCGTAATCGGTATCACTAAGATACTTAACACTAAGAGAAGTACCATACAAAAAGTCAGCAGGCGAAGCCTTAGAGTCGAGACGCACAGCTGTTCGTAAACCAAGCATAACCGCCGAGAGCTGCCCAAGCCAGTTTTTATTATTATGGCACATTGAAGCCTTCTTTAGATCCCGATGCCAACGCTCGATCATACCGTTTGCTGCAGGATGATATGCAGCCGTCCGAATTCGCCGAACGCCCAGGAGATTCAGAAGCGCTTTGAAGACTNTGTCTCATCTTTCGATCTAGACTATCAAAAAAATTCCAAAAGTTGAAGATCATGGAGATAAAACGTGTTTTTCAAACAAGTGCATTTTTCGAGTTTATGGGTCAAATTTTCGAAAAACTGATGCCACCACTGGAAAGCTGAGAAAAAAATACGTAAGAATATTTTTTTAGATAATTTTTTTATCAAAGTTTTAACACCGAAACGACGAGTTGAAAACGTCGTGTTTGACGCCCGCGCGGGCCGTCCACCGCGGCGCTAGGACAGTTGACGTGATTCTCGCCCTATATATATAATGCAAGGTCCAGCAGGAGCTCCCCAGGATAAGGATTCTACAACAAGGAAGATCATACGTCCTGGTTAATAGTGTACAACTTGTTTATTATCGAGTCTTGTAATACAGGAGGACCACTTAAGTGGGCGGCCCGAACAAGCACTGAATGTCGTGCGGTACATAGTTACATATACTGTATAGACTAGGGATTTACTACTGCTCCGCTAGTTACATAAGGTTGGATACCCCACAGGACTCCCCCCAAGTTATGACAATAACTTCATTAACAAAAATTTAATGTTTTAAACAACAATTGGGAGCAGTAGTGATAACGCATAACGATTTAACATATTATAATCACAGCAGAAACAGTCTATCGCTTAATCGCGATTTTAAAATACATAATCTCTTATACGAGAACATTTACAGTATTTTCAGTCTCTCGATTACTCGAACTGTACAACGTTTAACAACTTATTACAAAAATAAATGTCATTATGACCAACAATACATTTGTCTTATTAATATAAAAATACTTGGTTTTTATCAGTGTTAAGCACTACCTTTTTCGTTAAACTATTAACATCTTTTTTATTTGAATACGTTTTAAGAATGTGGCGCACCTCCGGAGCCTGCTTAGGCAGTGCAAAGGTCTCCGGAAGTGGTGGAGGCTGCAGGTCTTCTGGAATAAAGTGAGCCGGCTTAAGCAATTCGGTAGAGACTGTTCTAGGCGAACCGTTCACGACAATCTTATAATCCTGATCGGAAATACGCTCGATGATTTCGTGAGGGCCAGAGTAGGGACGCTCGAGAACCTTCTTGGCGGGCGGAGCTTTCAGAAATACGTGCGTGCAAGTACGCAAATCCTTAAAGAAGAATGCACGCGGTTTGTAACGATGCGCCACAGGAACGGGTTTAACGTTCCGCATGTGCACACGAAACTCCTCCAAGAAGAACTGAGGATCTGGCCTGAAATCGTCCGGAAGACAGAACTCACCGGGCACCCTAAGAGAAGTACCATACAAAAAGTCGGCAGGCGAAGCCTTAGAGTCGAGACGCACAGCTGTTCGCAAACCAAGCATAACCGTCGAGAGCTGCCCAAGCCAGTTTTTGTTATTATGGCACATTAAAGCCTTCTTCAGATCCCGATGCCAACGCTCGATCATACCGTTTGCTGCAGGATGATATGCAGCCGTCCGAATTCGCCGAACGCCCAGGAGATTCAGAAGCGCTTTGAAGACTTGCGATTCGAATTGGGGGCCTTGGTCGGTGGTAAGGGTACAAGGGGTACCGAAACGAGCGATCCAATTATCGAAGAAAGCTCGCGCTACAGTAATTGCTGAGATATCCTTAAGCGGCACGGCTTCCGGCCAACGAGAAAACCTATCGATCATCGTTAGGATGTACGAGTAACCCTCGCAGCTGGAAAGTGGGCCGACAATATCCATATGGATATGTGTAAAGCGACCGTCCGGAGCGACAAAGGTACAGGGGTCATTTTTAACGTGGTGAGAAATCTTTGAAGACTGGCAGTCAACACAGGTCAACACAGGTGCACCAAGCTCTGATGTCGATATGCATTTTAGGCCAAACATACCTTTGTCTGATGATGTTATCAGTCACTTTGGCCCCGGGGTGTGCAGGACTGTGAAAAAGTTCGAACACTCTCCTACGAAGAAGTTGGGGGACATACGGATGAAGTACACTTCCCGACACGTCACAAAACACTTTATGGTGGTCCTGACCCCACTCGATGCTCTTAATGACCAGCGAGTGCTTCTCAGCGCCTTCCAACAACCCAGCCAACTCGGGATCTGCCTTTTGAAGCTGAGCCAACTCAAGTAAGTTGAACTCAACAGGAAGACGTATAAGATCGACACGCGAAAGAGCATCAGCGACCGAGTTCTCGATACCGGCAATATGTTGAATGGAAGTAGTAAATTGCGAAACAAACGAAAGTTGTCTGCACTGACGAGGTAAAGCCTTGTCAGCGCGCTGCTTAAAAGCATGAATAAGGGGTTTATGGTCAGTAAGAATATAAAACTCCATTGCTTCTAAAAAATACCTAAAATACTTGGTTGCTTCATACACGGCAGTCAGCTCTCGATCATAAGTGCTGTACCGGGTCTGCGCTGGCGTAAACTTTCGCGAGAAAAAACCCAAAGGTCTCCAGCGCTCGCCCTGACGCTGCTCGACAACGGCTCCCATTGCCAGATCCGACGCGTCCGTAACCAGACGAGTTTCGGCTCCGATAGCGGGGTGGCTCAAGAGAGCAACACCAGCCAAATCCTCCTTAGCCTTTTCAAATGCGGCGTCCGCCTCCGGCGTCCACGCGATCTCACGCTTATCATTCTTCACCGAACCACGGATATAATCATTCAGAGGAGCCTGCGTCTTAGCCGCGTGGGGAATACCGCGGCGGTAGGTGTTAACCATCCCCAAAAACCGACGCAGCTGGACCACCGTCCTCGGCTTCGGGAAATTCAAAACCGCCTGAACGCTATCAACTGAAGGCTTGGAACCGTCACTATTGATAACGTACCCCAAAAAGTTAACCTCATCCTTGACGAGCTTACATTTACCAAGATTCAATTGCAAACCGAACCGTTCAAGCCGTTCAAGGACCACACGCAGATGACCGAAGTGTTCCTGCGCGCTCGACGAGAAGATCAAAATATCGTCGAGGTAGACGAAAACAAAGTCCAACCCCGAGAGCGCCCGATTAATATACCTCTGAAACGACTGGCAAGCATTTCTCAACCCGAAGGGAGTACCAAGGTACTCAAACAGGCCGAAGGGGGTAATTACAGCCGTCTTCGGGACGTCCTCAGGCGCAACAGGAATCTGATGGTACGCCTTATGCAAATCTAGCGTGGAGAAAATGCATTTGCCATGAAGAGCGATTGCATAATCATGAAGATGAGGTAATGGGTAGTGATCGGGTTCCGTGACGCTATTCAACCTTCGAAAATCGCCGCAGACGCGCCACGAACCGTCCCTCTTTTTTGTCAGGTGCAACGGACTAGCCCAGGGGCTACTAGAATGCCTACAATAACCCTCACGCACAAGCTGCTCGAACTCCAGTTTAACGGCCTTATATTTCTCCGGAGTCAGCCTTCTGACACGCTCTGAGATGGGAGGGCCATTGGTCACAATGTGATGGAAAACATCCGGAGAACCAATCTTTTTTGCCGGCTTGTGTCCTGTAACCTCTGGGAACGCGGACAACAACTTAGCTACTTCATCAGAAGACGTGACACCGACAGAAAAAGATGCGACCTGTTTAACGAACCCACAAGAAGACATGTTATTATTTGGGTCGATAAGTCTACGTTTACGAATGTCGACAAGGAGTCCAAAGTGATTGAGCAAGTCCGCGCCTATGATCGGATAAGGGACCGCGGCAACGCAAAACTTCCAACTAAATGGACTTTTAAGACGTAAGTCGACTAGCAACTGCACCTCCCCAAACGTTTGGATTGGTGTATTATTCGCGGCAAAAAGCTTAAGGTCGGTGGGTTTCAATGACCACGAAGAGTCTCTAGGAACCAATGACACCTCAGCGCCCGTATCGATAAGGAAAACAAGCCCCGACCCACCGTCACGTATATGGAGCCTTCGAGAAGGAAGTTCCTCGCCCACTGCTCCCACGCAGCGAGGACCATTTAGTTTTCCGAACGCTGCCAAGAGCACGGTGGAAAGCAACGATGAGCATTTGAACCGTATTTTTCGTGCAATCGGCAAAACTTGGGTTCCGAACCTGCCTTCTCGCTACTACCAACGGAAACCGACTTGGCGACCGGCCTGGATTGGCCACGCGACCTGGATCTACCTTGGCGCGTCTTCAAGGACTTAATCTCAGAAGCCAACCAGGCAATCTGGGCTTCGAGCTTCTCAAATGACGCCTGCGATGCCACGGCACTCACCTGCAATTCTGCACCTGAAGCCTCCACGAACTTATCAGCTAACGCAGCCAGCCTGTCAAGATCTACAACCTCCGAAAGTGACAAGGCGGCTTTACATTTTGCAGGAAGTTGTTCTAAAAATATAGTCTTTAATATTTCAACATCGCATCTAACATTAAGAGCTCGCAACGCATTGAGTATCAAAGATGGTTTACCATCGCTATGAACTTGGCCTTTAATAAGTTTACGTAAACGTTCCTCCGCTGAGGATCCGAAAGTAGCAATAAGTTTATTTTTAACTAACTCAAAAATGTCAGCGGGTGCAGGGTCCCGTGTCATAATCTCCTGGATCACCTGAAGGGCTTCCAGGTCCAGCTTTTCAGCAATAAAATCGGCCTTTGTCACTGAATTCCGAATCCCAGCATTACGCAGAGTAATTTCGGCCTGCAAAAACCAAGTCTGGGGGTTATCTCGACAAAAATTCGGAATTTTAGGCTGTCGGTACAGAGCCGCAACCCTCGCGTCTGAACTGTTACTATTTTGACCGTCCGCGTTTCCCGGAGTAGCTTGTAGACGTGCTACTTCTGCTCTAGCAGCCGCAAGGTCAGCCTCAAGCTGTTGAACTTGGTCTTCTGTAACCATTGCGATAGTGTGAAGGACAAATACAATTTGTCTAACCTTGCACACGCAGGTGCAGTACACACAGTAAAAATTCTAAAAACTTCACACTTACGAAAAATTAAAATTACTTCGAAAAACAATGTAGCAAGAAAACGCGGGTTAAAAACTTCAATGCAAAAACGCGTAGCTGAAAGCTAGAGTAACTATAGATATATATACATATATTTATGTACAGATATATACAAAGGAGTAAACAAAAAAACTTTTCGAAAAAAAAATGTCTTTATTTTTTTTTTTTGTTAAAAGAATAATATTGCTCACGCAAAACGTCACGTGTCATGTGATGATGGCTCTTTTTACAAAAAAAGATCAAGCTGGTAGATACCTGGACTCTCCCTCTCTGCTGCAAAGCGTCGAAGATGGTCGAGGTGAATGTTCACGGAGGGCAAATGAACACCTTCGTCTCCTGACTCGTAATGTAGATGTAGATGCAGCCCTGCGACTTGCGACGACGATAATGATCACGTCGGGGTCAATAATGTAGGGATCAAGCCTACTATATATTATGCAAGGTCTAGCAGGAGCTCCCCAGGATAAGGTATTCTACAACAAGAAGGTTATACGTCCTGGTTAATAGTGTACAACTTGTTTATTATCGAGTCTTGTAATACAGGAGGACCGCTTAAGTGGGCGGCCGAACAAGCACTGAATGTGGTGCGGTACATGGTTACATATACTGTATAGACTAGGGATTTACTACTGCTCCGCTAGTGACTTAAGGTTGAACACCCCACAGTACTCCCCCCAAGTTATGACAATAACTTCATTAACAAAAATTCAATATTTTAAACAACAATTGGGAGCAGTAGTGATAACGCATAACGATTTAACATATTATGATCATAGCAGAAACAGTCTATCGCTTAATCGCGATTTTAAAATACATAATCTCTTATACGAGAACATTTACAGCATTTTCATTCTCTTGATTACTTGAACTGTACAACGTTTAACAACTTATTACAAAAATAAATGTCATTATGACCAACAATACATTTGTCTTATTATTAATATAAACATACTTGGTTTTTATCAGTGTTTAGCACTACCTTTTTCGTTAAACTATTAACGTCTTTTTTATTTGAATACGTTTTAAGAATAGGCGCACATTCGGAGCCTGCTTAGGCAGTGCAAAGGTCTCCGGAAGTGGTGGAGGCTGCAGGTCTTCTGGAATAAAGTGAGCCGGCTTAAGCAATTCGGTCGAGACTGTTCTAGGCGAACCGTTAACGACAATCTTATAATCCTGATCGGAAATACGCTCGATGATTTCGTGAGGGCCAGAGTAGGGACGCTCAAGAACCTTCCTGGAGGGCGGAGCTTTCAGAAATAAGTGCGTGCAAGTACGCAAATCCTTATAAAAAAATGCACGCGGTTTGTAACGATGCGTGACAGGAACGGGTTTAACGTTCCGCATGTGCACTCGAAACTCCTCCAAGAAGAACTGAGGATTCGGCCCGAAATCGTCCGGAAGACAGAATTCACCGGGCACCCTAAGAGAAGTACCATACAAAAAGTCAGCAGGCAAAGCCTTAGAGTCGAGACGCACAGCTGTTCCCAAACCAAGCATAACCGTCGAGAGCTGCCCAAACCAGTTTTTATTATTATGCTACATTAAAGCCTTCTTTAGATCCTGATACCAACGCTCGATCATACCGTTTGCTGCAGGATGATATGCAGCCGTCCGAATCCGCTGAACACCCAGGAGCCTCAGAAGCGCCTTGAAGATTTGCGATTCAAATTGGGGGCCTTGGTCGGTGGTAAGGGTTCGAGGGGTACCGAAAAGAGCGATCCAATTATCGAAGAAAGCTCGCGCTACAGTAATTGCTGAAATATCTTTAAGCGGAACGGCTTCCGGCCAACGAGAAAACCTATCGATCATCGTAAGGATGTACGAGTAACCTTCGCAGCTGGGAAGTGGGCCGAGAATATCCATATGGATAAGTGTAAAGCGACCGTCCAGAGCGACAAAGGTACAGGGGTCATTTTTAACGTGGCAAGAAATCTTTGAAGACTGGCAGTCAACACAGGTCTTGCACCAAGCTCTGATGTCGATATGCATTTTAGGCCAAACATACCTTTGTCTGATTATGTTATCAGTCACTTTGGCCCCGGGGTGTGCAGGACTGTGAAAAAGTTCGAACACTCTCCTACGAAGGAGTTGGGGGACATACGGACGAAGTACACTTCCCGACACGTCACAAAACACTTTATGGTGGTCCTGACCCCACTCGATGCTCTTAATAAACAGCGAGTGCTTCTCAGCGCCTCCCAACAACTCAGCCAACTCGGGATCTGCCTTTTGAAGCTAAGCCAACTCAAGTAAGTTGAACTCAACAGGAAGACGTATAAGAACGACACGCGAAAGAGCATCAGCGACCGAGTTCTCGATACCGGCAATATGTCGAATGGAATTAGTAAATTGCGAAACAAACGAAAGTTGTCTGCACTGACGAGGTGAAGCCTTGTCAGCGCGCTGCTCAAAAGCATGAATAAGGGGTTTATGGTCAGTAAGAATATAAANGAAAGAGCATCAGCGACCGAGTTCTCGATACCGGCAATATGTCGAATGGAATTAGTAAATTGCGAAACAAACGAAAGTTGTCTGCACTGACGAGGTGAAGCCTTGTCAGCGCGCTGCTCAAAAGCATGAATAAGGGGTTTATGGTCAGTAAGAATATAAAACTCTATTGCTTCTAAAATATACCTAAAATACTTTGTTGCTTCCTACACGGCAGTCAGCTCTCGATCATAAGTGCTGTACCGGGTCTGCGCTGGCGTAAACTTTCGCGAGAAAAAACCCAAAGGTCTCCAGCGCTCGCCCTGACGCTGCTCGACGACGGCTTCCATTGCCAGATCTGATGCGTCCGTAACCAGACGAGTTTCGGCTCCCATAGCGGGGTGACTCAAGAGAGCAACACTAGCCAAATCCTCCTTAGCCTTTTCAAATGCGGCGTCCGCCTCCGGCGTCCACGCGATCTCACGCTTATCGTTCTTCACCGAACCGTGGATATAATCATTCAGAAGAGCCTGCGTCTCAGCCGCGTGGGGAATACCGCGGCGGTAGGTGTTAACCATCCCCAAAATCCGACGCAGCTGGACTACCGTCCTCGGCTTCGGGAAATTCAAAACCACCTGAATACTATCAGCTGAAGGCTTGGAACCGTCACTATTGATAACGTACCCCAAAAAGTTAACCTCATCCTTGACGAGCTTACATTTACCAAGATTCAATTGCAAACCGAACCGTTCAAGCCGTTCAAGGACCACACGCAGATGACCGAAGTGTTCCTACGCGCTCGACGAGAAGATCAAAATATCGTCGAGGTAGACGAAAACAAAGTCCAACCCCGAGAGCGCCCGATTTATATACCTCTGAAACGACTAGCAAGCATTTCTCAATCCGAAGAGAGTACCAAGGTACTCAAACAGGCCGAAGGGGGTAATTACAGCCGTCTTCGGGACGTCTTCAGGCGCAACAATAATCTAATGGTACGCCTTATGCAAATCTAGCGTGGAGAAAATGCATTTGCCATGAAGAGCAATTGCATAATCATGAAGATGAGGTAATGGGTAGCGATCGGGTTCCGTGACGCTATTCAACCTTCGAAAATCGCCGCAGACGCGCCACGAACCATCCCTCTTTTTTGTCAGGCGCAACGGACTAGCCCAGGGGCTACTAGAATGCCTACAATAACCCTCACGAACAAGCTGCTCGAACTCCTGTTTAACGGCCTTATATTTCTCCGGAGTCAGCCTTCTGACACGCTCTGAGATGGGAGAGCCATTGGTCACAATGTGATGGAAAACATCCGGAGAACCAATCTTTTTTGCAGGCTTGTGTCCTGTAACCTCTGGAAACGCGGACAACAACTTAGCTACTTCATCAGAAGACGTGACACCGACAGAAAAAGATGCGACCTGTTTAACGAAACCACAAGAAGACATGTTATTATTTGGGTCGATAAGTCAACGTTTACGAATGTCGACAAGGAGTCCAAAGTGATTAAGCAAGTCCGCGCCTATGATCGGATAAGGGACCGCGCCAACGCAAAACTTCCAACTAAACGGACTTTTAAGACGTAAGTCGACTAGCAACTGCACCTCCCCAAACGTTTGGATTGGTGTATTATTCGCGGCAAAAAGCTTAAGGTCGGTGGGTTTCAATGACCACAAAGAGTCTCTAGGAACCAATGACACCTCAGCGCCCGTATCGATAAGGAAAATAAGCCCCGACCCACCGTCACGTATATGGAGCCTTCGAGAAGGAAGTTCCTCGCCCACTGCTCCCACGCAGCGAGGACCATTTAGTTTTCCGAACGCTGCCAAGAGCACGGCGGAAAGCAACGATGAGCATTTGAACCGTATTTTTCGTGCAATCGACAAAACTTGGACTCTGAACCTACCTTCTCGTTACTACCAACGGAAACCGACTTGGCGACCGGCCTGGATCGGCCACGCGACCTGGATCTACCTTAGCGCGTCTTCAAGGACTTAATCTCAGAAGCCAACCAGGCAATCTGGGCTTCGAGCTTCTCAAACGACGCCTGCGATGCCACGGCACTCACCTGCAATTCTGTACCTGAAGCCTCCACGAACTTATCAGCTAACGCAGCCAGCCTGTCAAGATCTACAACCTCCGAAAGTGACAAGGCGGCTTTACATTTTGCAGGAAGTTGTTCTAGAAGTATAGTTTTTAATATTTCGACATCGCATCTAACATTAAGAGCTTGCAACGCATTGAGTATCAAAGATGGTTTACCATCGCTATGAACTTGGCCTTTAATAAGTTTACGTAAACGTTCCTCTGCTGAGGATCCGAAAGTAGCAATAAGTTTGTTTTTAACTAACTCAAAAATGTCAGTGGGTGCAGGGTCCCGTGTCATAATCTCCTGGATCACCTGAAGGGCTTCCAGGTCCAGCTTTTCAGCAATAAAATCTGCCCTTGTCACTGAATTCCGAAT